TTTTCTCCACTCAATATAGTTTTAGCGAGCGAGTTTAGTTGGGCATAAACTTTACCACCCTCATCTATGTGCGTAACGTACAATTCGGTTAATTGCCCCACCTGCAACGGATCGCCGACGTGCGTAAGAAAGTAAAAGAGGATCAACACCAGAGAATTGTAGTAATAAATTGAATGACAATTACACGCATTTTGAATGCACTGGTCATATCGTCCAAGGTGTTGTCGAATAAAACTTGGTTTACATCGACATCTTCGTCTTCATTGCTGGTGTCATAAAAAGTCACCGTTACGTACGAACTGTATTCATCGGCATCCATGCCATGTACTTTCACGAAAAACAATCGATCAACTATAAGATGATTTTCGATCTCCGTCACTATCTGGGCGCAATCGCGCAAGTCCTTTAATCCGTGAAGACCTACTCTAATAGCCTGCAAGATAGAGACGCGCGTAATGAGATACCGTCAGATTAATATACGGCTAAATCAAATAGATAAGTTACTTGACACGGTAGAACGCAAAATTTCTTGTCCAAAGGATGCAAAACGTCGGGTTTGTACTGTTCCTCATAACCCGCGTCGATAAAGAAAACTGTGGCCAATCCGGTCTCGACATCAAAATCTGTACATTGGACTCTGTGCCAATAGTTTTCCTCGAAAACGGCATAGAAATCGCCGGGCACACATGCCGAAGAGATGGGTTTACTTATTTGAGTGTAATGCTTCATCATTTCGTTTGTCATATCAACGAATTCATTCTAGAAAGTAAAAAGGGTTTTAACTCGCAGAAAAGGGCGAATGGATAGCGATAACGATACGATCGAACACACTCACATTTTCGTCACCGAGTCGAACCCAAATTTCGATAGTGTTCACAACGTAAGTGGCGTATACTTGCCAAATAGTCGCCTCAGGTACTGGCAATGTATCCGGCACGGCAGGCCCGATCGGATTCAATTGTATCTTCTCGTTAAATGAAATGTTCTCAAAAACATTTTTGGATGGCACGGAATTACCTTCCGACCGCTAAAAAGAAGGAGTATATTTAATTCGTTCTATGCAATTACCGAAAAAAAATACATGCATATTGTATATTACTTTCGGGGAGGATTGACACAGTATCGTGGAATTCCCGACGCCTCTCTCTTGATTTATATCCGCGCACTGCTCAATGATCATTTCCCAATTATGGGGCAAGGCCTCCCCATATTGTTCGTTATAGCAATCGGGTAATAGATGCATAAAAACCCCACTTTGATGATTGGTTACGATGTCAAAAATTCGATTCTTTATCAATTCCACGTCGGCGGTTGTCACGTCGGGGCTCGACGAACCCTTAGCAAGACGTACCAGGGCTAAACGTGCCGCAATCTTCTCAGCTTCCTCCTCGGACGCTGCGTCCTCCGGGTACGTGTGTAATGTATACGTGCCAATCTGTGAGATTCATCGATCAATATATAAAATCCTTGTAATCCTCAATGAATCAATGTAATAATTTAATAATAATATACAATTCGATAGATGTATTTACTTCTACAACGGCATAAATCGTAGTTTTATCAGAATGTTTTTCCTTTCTTGAATACATTTTGTAAACAGGCGGTTGTAAGTTTAGCGCGTTGGCACGAATCTCCAGTTCTTTTCGAGGATCGGAAGTCTTCAACAGCGGTGCTACCTATACGAGAAATAAAATGTC